CGGGTTCGAGAACTTTGTAGACATGACCGAAACATGTCTCCGGTCAATAACCAATAGCTGAACCTGGATGCTCATATTGGCTCCCACATATTTTACGAAGATCTTTATCGGTCAGACCGCATAACAACATACGTTGTTCCGTTTGTCATCGGTATGTTACTTGCCCGAGATTCGATCGTCGGTATCTCAATACCTAGTTTAATCTCGTTACCGGCAAGTGTCTTTACTCGTTCCGTAATACATCATCCCGCAACTAACTCATTAGTTGCAATGCTTGCAAGGCTTAAGTGATGTGCATCACCGAGAGGGCCCAGAGATACCTCTTCGACAATCGGAGTGACAAATCCAAATCTCGAAATACGCCAACCCAACAAGTACCTTCGGAGATACCTGTAGAGCACCTTTATAATCGCCCAGTTACGTTGTGACGTTCGGTAGCACACAAAGTGTTCCTCTGGTAAACGGGAGTTGCATAATCTCATAGTCGTAGGAACATGTATAAGTCATGAAGAAACCAATAGCAACAAACTAAACGATCAAGTGCTATGCTAACGGAATGGGTCAAGTCAATCACATCATTCTCCTAATGATGTGATCCCGTTAATCAAATGACAACTCATGTCTATGGTTAGGAAACATAACCATCTTTGATCAACGAGCTAGTCAAGTAGAGGCATAATAGTGACACTCTGTTTGTCTATGTATTATGTTTCCGGTTAATACAATTCTAGCATGAATAATAAATATTTATCATGATATAAGGAAATAAATAATAACTTTATTATTGCCTCTACGACATATTTTCTTCAATAAGGCATATTTAAGTTAATCTAATTATTTTGGAAAAAATAAAAAGGAAAAAAGAGAAAATAAATCTATACCTACTAATAAAGTAAGGTGCGTTTCACCAACTTTTTTGAGGTTTACGTTCTATCCAAGGTGGTACTATTTTATGATCTGTCCTAAAAATTATACCAAAAAAGTTTAGAAAAAAAACGCTTGGGCCACGTTCTCAACGCGCACTTAAGCCTGCTCCCGCCCCACAACAGGTTGGGCCTCAGCCTGCTCCTTGCGGCCCGTCTAGGTCCCTGATTGACACCCCACAAATGTGTAAAAAAATAACGGCCAGGCAGGGATTCAAACCAGAGATCTCTTACTTCATAGATGATTTAAATGCTACAACCAACTAAGACAACTAATTATTGTGACTAAAACTAGGTTGTATTATATTTCTATGATTTCAAACGGGACTGGGCCTCGGACTGCGCTCTAGCTGCTGGGTGACCCTGCTTGGTGAGCTCCACCAGCGCATGTATACATATACATATACATATATATATATATATATATATACATATATATATATATATATACATATACATACATATATATATATATACATATACATACATATATATATATATATATACATATACATATATATATATATATAGCATCAATGTACAAAAAAAGTCATACCACTAAAAAAGTATGCCGTGATAAAAAAATAGTATGTATTGATGCAGTTGTTGTACCGCTGGGCCTACTCAGCATAAAATCGCCGCAATAACGGGCCTTCTTTTATGGGTAGCGAGCCACACAACCATATTTCATGTTAAATTTTCCCTCCTTGCTTCGTTAGGCCGACTCTTTCTAGTTTATATATGTTCGCAGTTGAGTTTGAATATCAGCAAGATGCCTAAAATAGACAATCAGGTCCGCTGATTAAAGGAATCATGGGCTGTCTTGGAGGGTGTACTAAAGGAATGATGGATAGAGGATTTGTGCAATGGAAAGATATTCACGTACATGCAAAAATCGATCATGGATGTGCACCCTGCATGGGCAAGATTTGTGGGCTGATGTGACGGTGTATTAAAGAAAGGATAGATTGGAGGATTGTGGAATGGAAGGATATTAACATACATGCAAAGCATGGGTCGTGGACGTGATGCATGGCCCTTATGGGAAAGAATCGACTATGGCCCCTATCGTGAATTTCAAAATAAAATCCACCAATTTCTAACAAATGTTCGTCTATTTTAGAATTGTTCGCCCATTCAAAACAAAATGCTTAAAAACCGTTTGTATTATAAAAAATGTTCATACTTAAAAAAATGTAAATAGTAAAGAATGTTCACGATTTTTAAAAATGTTTCCAAATTTGTAAGAATGTTCACAAATGATCGAAGCTATGTAGTTAAACAGTAATGCTTCTGAGTCTTTGTGACTACATACCCGCGTGAATTTTCAAGAATTAACTGCCGGTGTGGATCGGAATATTATAGTATGCTTTCTTAAAAACGTTTCTTGAAATTCAGAATAATTCTTTGAATTACCAAGTTTATTGACAACCACGATATTTTTTCGAAAATGTAAACATTGCTTCAATTTGCGAATAAATTTTAAAAAGAAACATTTTCTTGCATTTGTGAACAAATTTTCAAAATCATGCAATGAGATGTGAACAAAATGTTGTTATCGCCATTTGAAGATTATGAAAAAAAATTCTCTGGTTGCAACGCACGGGCCCTTTTGCTAGTAAAATATTAAAAAATATTAGAAATCTATGCCTACGGTTATGCGGTTGGCATAGCTACAGCCACGAAACAGTAGAGACACGGATCGATGACGTGGCGTATGGCGCGAATTGATGATGTGGCACCGTCCATGGGCCAGAGCTAGATATGCCACCCACTGACCGGGGAGCGTTTCAGATAGTTGGCGTGGCAGATCACGTGGATCGACGACGTCTGTATAGATATGCCGACGGCCACCGTTAGACCACGTCGCCGTAGGCTTCACGCCGTCAAACGATGTCACCGCCCGGGTAGCCGGGCCCACATATATGCCGACGGCCGCCAAAGGCATATTGATTGGGATGGCGACGCTGTGCCGATGGCCCCCGTCAACGTAAGTGGTTGTATGCCGACGGCTTTTCTATGCCGACGGCCTGACCTGTGCCGTCGGGATACATCCATCTATGCCGACGGGGGTCGTTGGCAATTTGGTAAATTCTGGTAGTGGGGGCGGTGTGTTCTTACCTGTCCTTGTACGTGGTGACCAGGACCTTGGCAGGCTCCGGCATGGATCCATCGACATAGCCGAAGATCCCATCATCTCTCGGTTGCGGCGTCACCTGGGTATACGACAGCACGTAGTTGGTGCGAGTAAGCTTCTTGGTGACCTGACACTTAGGCCGGCAGGGGAAGCACCGGAGGAGGACGACATGGCAAGAGAGGAGGCGGAAGGCGTGGTGGCTAGATGAGATGGGAAGAGGAGGCTTTGTATACCATGTAAGCTTTCTATGAAGCGTCGTGCCTTGTTCGAGGCAGCGCCTGCGTGTTTATAAGGGCAGGGTCTAAACCCAGATTATTGCATTACAGAAGGTTGTCGCCGGAGTACAACTTGGGAGAGAAGGAAGAGATTACAGAGAGATAAAGATTACAACAGTTGATTTGAGAAGAATCCTATCTCTCTACTCTAAGCCTAACTCCCTGCGGAAGGTATGCATTTCGTTATCATCAGTGACCAACATAGTAACGTGACAACAATGTTTAACAATGATAAGACCTATGGTGGGAAATGCCTGCTGAACTGGAAGCGTATTTGTGCCCCCATATCTGTTGGGGGCCTTGGCATGAAAGAGCTTGCAGCTTACAGCAGGGCCCTTCGTCTGCATTGGCCTTGGTACGAGTGGGGCAACATTGACAGGCCTTTTAAGGGCACTGCAAACCCATGTGATCCTCCTGATCGTCAGCTTTTTGCCGCCTGCAGTAGCATCCAGCTTGGAAAATGGAAGAAAAGCACGGTTCTGGACTGACAGATGGCTCCCATGGATCTTGTGCCTGAACTGTACAAGTTGTCTCATAGGAAACAACTATCTGTCCGAGATGATCTTCAAGATAACCATTGGATGGTTGGGTTGAACAGGATAACCAATGTTGAGACGCTTGACTCCCTGCTGAACCTTTGAACGGCCATGCAGCAGGTCCTCCTCAATGATCGGGAGGATGAAATCACTTGGATTTGCACCTCGAATGGATGCTACAGCGCTAAGTTGGCGTACAACATTCAGTTCATCACTAGAATTGCAATGCCGCAGCTTGGATTGGTATGGAAACTTAAAGCTGAGCCTAAGATCAGATTCTTCATTTGGACCTTGCTCGAAAACAGGTTGTGGACTGCTGACCGCCTTGCCAATCAAGGAGGGCCTCACAATGATAGTTGCAGCACCTGTGATCAGCTTCCGGAGTCTGCACATCACCTCTTGCTCGGCTGCCCTTTTGCCAAGGAAATATGGCAATCCTTTGCGTCTTTGCAATTTGAGACCACTGCTGCTGCCCTCTCTGCCACTTCCATTCAGTCTTGGTGGATGGCTACAACAAGATGCAAGATCAAGCGCGACAACCTCCATGCGCCTACGGTGGCGGCATATATTGCTTGGAATATATGGAACGAGCAAAATAGGCGTGTTTTCCAACACAAGATGGTAACAGTGCCTGGGGTTCATGTGATGATTAGAGATGAGATCAGCCTCTTCATTGGGGCTTGGGAGTTTCAGGTGTTTTCTTTCTGGGCCAGGCTGCTTCACAGTGACCTAGCCCTTTTTCTTTCTCTCCCTCCGGCTGTTTTTCCAGCCTAGCTGTACAGTTTTTTCCCCTACTAAATGAAAAGGCAGAGCACCTGCCATTGTCCGTCAAAAAAAAGAGAGGAACACAAAAGCGTGCAGATGTTTTGTTTGATGCGTTCTCGATCAGGTGGTGTATATATACTATTGATAATCTCTGAAAAAACAGAAATGGTGTATTTATACATGAGTGATTAACTGAGTACATATAGAAATTTGTGAAGTTTCACCACAAAGACAAACATTCAAGGATATACAATATATACATACACATTACAACAGAAGCAAAGTAAGTATTAAACTACAATGTAGCACACTAGCACGAACATACTCCTATTACCAGAATGGCAGCTGCAATGCACCAGGTCTGCTACTGCTTCTTATTGCAGGACAGTTGCCCAAATGCGTCCCTAATCGCCGCTACAGCTGCCAGGTACTTGCTCCTGTGTTGAAGATACCTTTCTTCTCTCACCAACCGCTGTGCTGTATCATCTAACCCGAGCAACCATTGCTGCTCTGAACGATCTTCGACAAACAACCGAGCGACAACCAAGGAGAAAGACTCCGGAGAATGCATCCTGCTGACCTGCCTAGCCTGGTCTCCCATTAGTTTCCAGCTGAGCTTGTCTGAAAGCATTGTCACGTCCTTCAAGTGCCCTTCCACCTGCTGCATCAGGCACCCCAGGTTACTTGAATCAGGCGAGTCTCTGTCTTTTAGTACCTGGACTCTTGCGATGACATAGGGCTTTGTTCTGACGACCTCCAGGACACGGAACCGATCACCGCCGACGCACGTCAGGAAGAACCGGTCATTGACGAGCTTATCACACTGAACGATACGGACCATGCATCCAACATCAGCCATCCTATTATCTTTCCTGCTGGAGTAGATGATACCAAAGCTGTGGCCTTCCTGGAGTAGTAGTGTCTGCATCATGATGCGGTATCTGAACTCAACCGTCTGCAGCTGCAGCGTCTGGCTGGGGAAAACAACCGATGGGTGCAGGAGTATGGGGATCTCAGTACTCTGATGATCATGATGGGACTGGACAACCTCGTCGACGCGGTCACGTGGATTGGCTCTGCATTTCAGGACTGGTGAACTCTGAAGGCGATTCTTCGTGGCAATTCTTGCTTGCGGTCTTGAGTGAGGTTTTGGCTGATAACAATAAGACTTAGAGTTGGAGGGACTGAAACTGGAACTGTCTGGCCTTGCTAAACTGGGTGGAGCTTGCAGAGTCTTAAAGGCCATGTACATGAAGTCCTCTTTCAGTGATGAGCCTGTTAACACATATCCAAAGACGAAGAAAGTGATGTGTTCAGTAACCCTCTGGCAGCAACATGAGTGCCTTGTTTCCAGTTACATGGCTACTGAGTAATCTTCAAACATCGACGAGTAACGGAAGTCAATTTCAGATATTAAACACATGCAACAGCTAAACAAAAATTAAATCGACACGCACAAGAAAATGTTAACACTCTCATAATATGTTTCCTGAAAAGGCATTAACACTCCCATAATTGCAGTGGAAAAAGCTCTGCTGCAGTTACTCTAGAGAGTTGGATAAAACCTTCTCCTATTTCCAAAGAAAATCGGTCACTCTGGAGTACAGATACTAATCATTTGAAGCAAGTTTATGCTCATGTTCCCGGCAGCTGTAACAAGACTAGCTTGTAATGGAACTGATTGAAAGTGATTCCTAGTAGTACTAACCCTCCGTCCCAAAATAAGTGTCTTGATTTAATACAATTTTATGTATTTTGTAATAGAAGATAAACCAAGGAAAAAAACTAGTACTATTATAAGTATAAACCCTGGCTCTCATAGACGCAGCTCGCGGAACCAGTTTGACCAGATGTGGATGTGGCTGAGATGATCCACTTGAGAAAGAACATGGGGGATGGATAAGGCGAGGAAAACCCGCTGGATCATATCTTCATACCATAGCCAACAAAGGAGACAGAACACGCGGAGAAGAAAGCGATCAGCATGCAGGAAGGAAGGGATGCAGCGCCGCCGTTTACCTTTTAAGGCCTGGAAAGTTTCCAGGAGGAGCAGAGCTGCAGATCGCGGTCGGAGAGCAGCAGGGGAGGCGGCCGGCAGAGGGGGGAAGAGGATAGAGTGATAGAGCCTGCCACTTATATCAACTGAATATGTTGTTTATAAGTACGATTGCGAAAGCCCATCAGATCTAACCAATCTTCTAGACCGGTGGGTGGTGGCCCCCACGCCACACCTACATAGTCGATCCAATTGTTATACTAATGTTCCATAATGTGGTGCTTATAGATTTTTTAAAAAGTAAAGCATCATAAAACTTTGATCAAATTTGTGAAGAAAAAACATTTACATTTAGAATGCTAAATTTATATCATTAAATTCATTATAGATGAACTTTCATACTTTATATATTTGATATTGTAGATATAAATAGTTATCCCTATAAACTTGATCCAATTTTATAAAGTTCGGTGGCCTTAGGCCACGGCGCCGTGGTGGATCCCGACCCTTGCCGACGGGAGGGTTCTGTTTTTTTAGATATTCCTTTGAGTTTTGTTAGGATTTGTATCCTGTTCAGGAAGACGAGACAACGGCGGCTCTATAAAGATGAAATAAGATTCTCCCCGCCTAGCCCTGTCCCGGTTGTGTGTCTAGCATCGTCGGTAGACGTGTGGGGGTGTGTCTTCGGCTGATCTGTTCTTGGTGGTGCTCGAATCTGTTCATAGTTTGTCTAAGTTTGTGTTTTTTCAGGTTGGATCCTTCCGATCTACGTTACTCTTCATCGGCGGCGTTGTTGTTCTGATCTGCTGGTCCTATAGTGCCTTAGCACGATGACTTTCCGACTGTCTACTGCAACAAGTTTTGTCCGGCTCCGGCCGGGGGAAGGGGGGGAGGGGGGCGATGACGACGGCGTGGCTTCGAGGTGCTTGAGTGATTGTAGTCATCGCTAGATGGTCTACGGATCTCGATATAATTCTTATTACTTCTAATATTCATTTACTGTCATCATTGAAAATGAATAGACAGAAAATTTTCTAAAAAATACTTAATTAAACTTTATAAAGTTTTACTTTTCAAAAAATCTATACGCACCATATTATAAAACAGAGTACTCATGATGAGAAGAGATGATTGAATTGATGCCGCCAAAGTGCCCATATCACCTATTTTTTATCGTGTAGCACCCCAACGCAACAGACATCGCTTGTTATACATAACTTCAAGTAGGTAGCTAGCAGCAAACGAACAACAGTGTGCCGCACATTGTTTCCATCGTACGCCTTTCCCTAAGGAGGCGGGATCTGGACCGGGGTGGAGTCCTGCACTTCTCTGCTCGTCGGGACATGATCCAGATAAGATTAGCCAAGGCGGCATCACTTGTCTCACACGCACACGCTTGATCCTCCTTAGCCATTGTGCGTGCGCGGCTTCAACAAGAAACGTGTTGGGATTCTGCTAGTGGCAACTTCCCGGAGATTCAGAACGGCGCTTCCTATGCATCGACACGTAAAGGCACCAAATGCGTTAAAGCATCTCCAACAGGTCCCTTTCCGTGGAAAGGTGACACTTCCCGTAAACATTCCCTTCCCTTAAACTTCACGCCTCATTTTGATACATCATGTGAACCAATCCGTGAATGGATGGTTGAATGGACAGTCGTATTTTTAGCCTATCGGGATTTAAGTTTTAAACTTGACATTGATGCTTACATTATTTATGGATTTATTTGAGGCTTTCAGTGATGTCCGTTCAATAGGAGTAAATGTCCCCATCAACTGCGAGGTGCGTACGATGACTTTGTAAAATCTCAAGATTTTATACCGGCTCAGTCTCTTAAAGGTGCTTATAAGGGTCAAATTTTCTCTAGGAAAATTTTCTTTAGAGCCTTTTCATATGTAGGAATGGATTCTTATTCTTATATAGAATTGGTTCCTGCTCTTCACGTTTCAAAGGAAGGAAGATCATTAGCTCGGATATAATTGAGAAAAATCATATCCTATGAACCAAATGACATCTTTTTTCTATATGATTTGTTTTTTTTTGTAACTTTAAATCCTATCGTGCGAACCAAATGACAAAAAAATTCTGTATGATTTGACATTTTTCATAATTTTCCTATTCCTATCAACCAAAGAGTCCCGAATGAGATCGGTTTTTCATCCGCATATGTAGCCACGTACCATGCTCTCAATGAAGCCAGAAGGTTTAGCACCGTGGACCGTCTCAGGTAAGTCACCATGGAGGAAGGCATTTTTAACATCCTGTTGATGGATGGGCGAAGAATTAGACATGGCGATGCTTAAAACCACTCGCATGGTTGTAGGCTTGACCACCAAACTCAATTTCTCATCATAATCCCCCCCCCCCCTCTTGTTGTGTAAACATGTGAACGACCCATCTTGTTGTGTACCGCGCCAAGGATCCATCCTTGTTGAATTTGTGGCAAAAAAAATTCACTTCCTAGTGAAGGCATTTACACCTGCAGGCCTAGGAGCCAAAGACCAAGTCAACTATCATTGCTTATCACGAGATCTTTGAGAGCCGACGGGTAGGTAGAAGGGATAGGAGATGTGGGTGATGATGAGTTAGCGGCAAGGATTAATCTACATGGCATAAAATATCCTTCTTTGGCACGCATGGACATCTTGTTGGTGTTCCTGGATGGCTCTACTGGAATTGCATGGCGAGGCAAATGTGGTGAAGGAGTAGAGGCCAGGGCGGAAATCAAGAATGACGGGGTGGGGCTGTGGCCAGCGGATCATTGCGGTCAAGAATGTAAACAGAGGACAATCTAGAAGCATGCGATTGGGCATGGAAATGGAGGAATATCCCGACAGATCTAGGACAGGGGAGGCAGGCGTGCAGATTGAGCGCAGGCTGGTCTCCTAGGCGGTCTAGCCACAGATGGAGCGACACGTGGACGGAGTCGACAACTGGGCTGATAGTGGGCGGGAGATGATTGGTGCGGATTTAGCTAGGGAATTGGGCGGGCCCCGTACGTATTGGGACGGTGGTGGGATTTGGGAGTATCATGGTAGGTGGGGTAGGAGTTAGCTGGTCCGGTGCAATGGTAAGGTGTGTGGGCCACGATGTGGGTGAGGTATAGGAAAATGTTTATTCATCAAAGATAACGTGCTGACACACAATCACCCGTCGCGAGAGTCAAAACACCTATAGCTCTTGAATTCGAGAAGGTAGCCAATGAAAATGCATGGAGTGGAACGAAGCTGATATTTGTGAGAAGGACAATGTTAAGAGGCGGGTGGCGGTGTGGAGGGCCTCTACCCAAAAGAGCGGAGGGAGGTTCGTGTAGAAGTAATGTTTGAATGACACCATTGGTGGTATGGATCATAAGTTCTACTTTGCCATTTTTGGGTGAGGTGTGGGGGCAAGAGAAGCAATAAAGCGACACCGTTGGTAGAGAAAAATGTATGAAGTGAAGAGTTGATAAACTCAGCACCATTGTCACATTGCATGCTTCACATAGTAATATTGCATTTGTGTGTGAACAAAAGAGAAGAAATATAGTAGGGTGGTGGACGTGTCGTATTTTTGGTGTAAAAAAATGACCAAGAAAAATGAGTGTACTCATCGAGAATAATAAGATAGTATTGAAAATCAGAAAAGCTTACATCCAGAGAGGTCCACACAAGTCAAAGTGAATTAAATCAAGTGGTTCAAAAGATGTGCTAAACGGGGAAAGAAAAGGGAGGCGGGATTGGCGGCCTAATTGACAGGTGATACATGCAGTATGTGGGGCTTTATTACATGATGAAAGAAAACCTCTAGTTTAGAAAGAGATTGGGCGCTTGGGTAACCAAGCTATCACTACTGCAGGAATGTCTAGCAGTGGCGGGCGAGCCTTCTTGCGCCGCCCGCCACTCGCCTCCCAGCACTACTAAGGGGCAGTAATGGCGGGCGCTGTAAATTGCCCGCTAGTGTAATCAATCTCGTAGTACTGGGAGGCGGCCGTGTCAATGGCGGGCAAGTTGTAATGATCGCCATTGCTGTGTAAAGTATGTGCAGCGAGCGCTTATTTGCACTCGCCACTGATTGCTACCCAAGGCTAGAATAAAAAACGCTGCCATGGCTGGCAGCATATATGCTGCGACAACAACATTAGCTGATCCAAATAGAGAACCGTTCTCAATAAATGGGAGCAAATTAGGAATAAAACTAGTGGTAATAACGTAGAATAAAGAAGGTGAAATACGTTAAGAATAAAATACATTGTCATCAAATATAGTCTACTGATA